TGTTTCTCCTCAGTGCCCCCCCCCGGCCATAAATAATGACCGGTCCCTAAATGAGAGCCACATGGGTCCTGTTTCAGAGTACAGAAAAAGAGCCAAGAGACTGGGTGCACATTTAAAATTTTGAGCCAGCGGCGAATTGAGAAAGCTACAACTACCTGAAAAAACATGAGCAGAACTTCGTTCATCGAAAAGTTAGTACTCTTAAGGCCCGCGGTCACACTACACAACGAAAACTTGTATACGCGCGCGCAGATTGATAAAAAATTTATCGTCCGAAAAAAAAATCCCTCGGGTGAGGGATTATAAAATCGTTATCGCTATCGTCAAACGATAATTTTATCGTTTTCGACTTTTCCTTGTATTATGGACACAGGCCGTACCCTGGTTCCAGAGGTTCTTGTGCCGCCGTATTATAAATTACGTAATTCGTACGAAGGAACGGCGAAGGTTTGCAGTTTTTTCGTGCAGTCAAATTACGTGAAATAAAACGGCGGCACAAGAACCTCTGGAACTAGGGTAGGACACCCGACACCAACATAATTTTTTAACCATCATCGCGTGTTTAAGTTATCGTATCGTTATCGCTGTGTAGCGAGGACGTTCACAGGAAACGTCAACGTTCTGCTTATATATTTCCAGGAATCTCTCTCAGCCTATTGCGGTTAGGTCTAGCTTAAACATTTTAGCTAGAGAAACAAACGTTTAAAAGTTTGTCATGTTGTATTTTTTAATCAAATTTCATTATTTGAGTGAAGAAGTAAGGGCGTGCCAGAGTTTACGACTCTGTAAGATAGAGAAAAACACTTTCATTGTCAAAATTAGTTGTGTGATCTCTTGTAGGAATTCTTGTACAAATTGGAGCAATTATAAATACGACGTCCTTGGGGTCTTTTGTACCATCCTTCATGTGCAATCGGATCAGAATTATGAATAATTAAAACATTTTCATAGTTCCGTATGACTGAGTCTTGGACCTCTTGCTTTCTTTTTCTTTTTGTGGCTTTTATTTTCGTGTTTTGAAGAATTGGGAACTTCTTCCTTGCCTGCTTTTGTTCTCTGAAATGTATTAAAATTCCATGTACTTTTATCAAATCAGTTTTGAAAGACGCAGAGTGGTGTATCACTTGAAAAGTGTAAACAAGATTTCATGGGTTTTGCCGAACCTCATCATTATGGGTGTCTGTAAAAGCCGGAACCCCACCCGGAACACCCGGAACCCACCCGGAACACCCGAAACCCCACCCGGAACACCTGGAACCCTACCCGGAACACCCGGAACCCTACCCGGAACACCCGGAACCCCATCCGGAACACCCGGAACCCCACCCGGAACACGCTGCAATAGGAGCTATGACGCAACGCACGTGTTTCTCTATAAATTCACGTGTTTCGCATTAAATTCGGGGTGATAGATGGTTACGATCTTTACTTTTTACTTGTATTGTTGTTTTTTTAAATAATTTTTCTCATGGGCAAGGATAAATAT